CTGCAAGCTCCGCCTCCCGGGTTCACACCATTCTCCTGCCTCAGCCTCCCGAGTAGCTGGGACTACAGGCGCCCGTCACCTCGCCCGGCTAGTTTTTTTTTGTATTTTTTTAGTAGAGACGGGGTTTCACCGTGTTAGCCAGGCTGGTCTCGACCTCCTGACCTCGCGATCCGCCCGTCTCGGCCTCCCAAAGTGCTGGGATTACAGGCTTGAGCCACCGCGCCCGGCCTGACATCATGACCATTCTTTAGCCTTTATATATTCAATTCATCGAAACACCCTTGTACTAATGCCATATTCAACAAACAACTTTCCAACTTTGATAGAAATCCCACCATAGCTGTGCCTGGATCACAAGGATTTTTGGTACATAAAATAATAAATTGGACTTCCAGTATCTACTTGATTTTAGTGTTAGGTTTCATTATGGAGGTCTCTCGGGGCTTGACTACCCCTAGGCACTAACAAGAACAAGTCTCTCTGTTTTCAAAAAGAGAAGGGGATCCAATCAATTTCTACATTAGTCATAACAATGCCACTTCCATTTTCATTCCTGTATACTTATTCATTTTTTTCACTGTAGAAGAGAAATGATAGAAAAGGGGAGATAATGACCCAAATGAAGGAAATCAGCTAATACTGGAATGTGATTAAGCAAACTTACACTGAAAAACAAGATTCTGGTCACCACCCCTCTCACTACAAGGAGACTCTTTTCTTCTACTGGGGGAAGAGGAGAAAGTCAAATAGTCCACCTGGAAACCTAACTAGGGACTCTGGCTAGGTGCCAAAAAATAAAAAGGACAGGACAAATAAAACAAAGAAATGGAAATTTCAGTAGTGCTCTGGAGGCTAACAAGGTACAAGGGTAAAAAGGATAAAAATATTTTTTTTAAAAAGGCCATTGAGCATAAGGGCCATTCAATGAAAAAAAGAAAATGATAATACAGAGAGAAAACAAAACAGAGCAAAAACAAGGAGGAAAGGGGAACTGCATCAGTACCAACAGACAGGAAACTCTTTTTTTATTTTTTATTTTTTATTTTTTTGAGACGGAGCACGATCTCGGCTCACTGCAAGCTCTGACTCCCGGGTTCACGCCATTCTCCTGCCTCAGCCTCCCGAGTAGCAGGGACTACAGGCGCC